ACAAGAGATAAAGGTATCAAATTTGACGTACATTAGAATAAAGACAAAAAAATAATTGAGTCTAACGGTTCAACATTGACAAGTTACATTGGTTCCCTTGTAAGGAGAGAAGTTCCAATCACTTGTGATGATTGGAGAAATCGAGAGTTGAAACCCGCTAAAGAAAAAATATGAAGTGATATACAAGAACCATATGTGATGTCATTTGTTTTTGTTGACGATTATGTCTTTAAATTACTAACGCATTCTGTGTATATCTTTTCGTAGAGGTCTTTTAACATTGATGATGATCGAAACACATATTGTCTTCAATTGGACTGAAAAAGACTCAGAGGGTTTCGATCTTTTTAACAAATAAGTTTCTTAAGGATGTCGATAACAATTTTATTGATGCAGAACTTCCAAAGACGTATGCAGACTTGATTTCACCTAAAGAATGAGAAACCATTAAAGGCAAACGAAGAACCTTATATTTTCAGAATGTGAGTGTCGTAAATCACCAACGAGTATCAAGTCCCCCGTATCCATACAAAAAATGGCGTATGGGATATGCACACTTACAACAAAGAATGGTAAGTATATACAAATGCTATGATATACTTGTTAATCATGTGTTACAATTGATCTTATTATTTCTCTTAATGTGTAGTTAGAAGAGGAGAAAAGTCAAGAAACATCTCTTTCAGAACATGTTTTATGGAAGGCTGCTCGTATGGGTAAGGATGGAGTTGTTAAGGAAGATGTTCAACAAATCTATGAACAATGTGTAAGTATATCCGTATTCCTTTAATTAAATCAAAATTTTATTAACATAAAGAATTTATGAGTTTTAATCACCACTAATTTATTTCGATATGCATATGAATTTAAGGAGAATCTATCTCAATCTTTAACTTAAGCTGAAGATCATGATTGCAGGAGCATACTTAGTCGAGTATTAAATATTCTTGAGTATACCGATCGTGTGAGGGGTAAGAGATTTGGGGTGAATCAAACATATTTGGGTAAACATAAAAAGAGTAGAGGTCATAGAAATAAAGAAATGATGGAAGAGTTGAAAAAAATTAAAAGCTAAAGTTCGTGAGTTGGAAAAGGATAAAGAAAGACATCAGTCAGAAAGGTAAGATTTAGGATTCAAGGATACTAGTGACAAAGATAATATCAATTTTGATCTCCAACAGAAAATTCCTGAGGTAATATATATTATTATGAATTAGCACAATTTTTTTAATTGACATATATACACATTAACAATTTCATATTTATTATTGGTTTAGGGCATTTCACCTTGTCAGCTATATTTATCGTCATCGACTTATCGCATGGTTGATAAGGGAAAAGTGCATAACACTTTGGGAGAAGTACTTCACCATAAACTGCTCCCTGATGGATTTTTGAAAGTATTGATTGATATTGCTTTAGAGAGGGATGCTACATTACCTTTACCTGGCAATATTTCAGATGTAACATTGGTGAAAGATGCAATAGGATCATATGTTACATGGCCGTCAAACCTCATTTACATAGATGATGAGGTATGTTGAAAACCATTATGAACCTTTAAGTATTCAAATTTTTTACGATCATTTAACGTGTATTTTTTTTCATGGTAATGTTAGACTCCTACAAAATCCAAATCAATAGATAAGGGGATAACGCGGCAAACCGAGTCAGAGAGAGATAGAGAGAGAGAGAGAGAGAGAGAGAGAGAGAGAGAGAGAGAGAGAGAGAGAGAGAGAGAGAGAGAATGTTAATTCATAATCTTATACTTCACCTAACTTATATGCATCTCTTTAGATTCATGCTAAAGAGATGCAACAAGTCAGTATGAGTAAGAAGCCTAAAATTAGCAACATGTCCACACAAAAAAAGGATGTTGCAAAGATCGCGACTTAAAAAAAAGCGTATTACGAAACAATTGGTAATGAGGATATGGATCAAGTTTTTAGACATTTAGAATTAGGCCTCAGTGTTGCCGGTACATACATCAGGTATACTCCGATCAACTTTATTTAATTAATTGAACAATTTATTTACTCATTTCAATGAATAATCTTAATATTAATGATGTTTTTATTTAAGGTTCATGTATGACAACTTGATGCGCCCGCATCAATTGGAACACAAATTCTGTTTCTTATCTCCCAATAATATCAACACACGATTAATCGATCAAAGACCAGATGAAGTCAAAGAGTACTTTGTCCGTGCATTTATAGCCAACAAAGATACATAAAAGTTGTTTTTTATCATTTAATACTGGCAATGGGTTAGATTTTCATTCTAACTTCATATATTATAATTTTTCGTTTTTTGATACTGTGTAGAAAGTTTCCATCTAACCTTTGTTAATCTTACAGTGGACACTGGTTTTTGGTTGCGATTAATCTTATAAGAGAAATTGTATATTATCTGGATTTGTTAGAAGGTGATTGGACAAAATACCCAAATATGAAGATGGTTGATACGTAAGTGAGATTGTTCTAACTATTCGTTTGTATATTTATTTATTTATTTATGTGCGATTTTTCTAAATATTCGTTTATATTTTGTTAGAGTTATATAAATTTTTCGATCACAAAGAGATACTCAAGTACCAAAGAGTAAAGCAAACAACATTTCATAGATCAGAGTGCATATATATTTTCACAATTTTGATTATATTAGTGATGCTACTTGATAAAATAAGTTAAATTATATATCCTGATATATATTCGTATTTTTTCCATGTGTAGTGTCCTCGTCAGTGTTATGGTATAAATTGCGGTTATTTCATGTTGAAGTTTATGAAAGAAATTATTCTTTTGAATCAAATAAAGATTCCAACCATGTGAGTTTCTAACTTATAATTTATTTTATCATTTAATACATTTCATCTAATTAATTAGTTTTAACTGAATCATATTATGTTATATTATATAGTACTTTGATGAATTCAAGTCTTCTACTTACTCAAAAGATCAATTGGATGAAATTAAGGAGGATTGATGTCAATACATTATTGACATGAAAATTTTATAAGATATTGTGGCACTTTCATGGATGAGAATTTTGAGTATATATAAGTTTGAGTTTTGATGAGATACCATATCGTCATTAGTGTGGTAAATTATGTTGCAATGTTGTTGTTGTTATGTGGAATGTTAGTTATGATGATATTGGAGTTAAATTCAAATAAACATTTGTTTGTATCATGGTATGAATTTGTGAATTTTTAATGGTGGATTATAACAGATTCTTGATTTGTTTTTGTTACATTGATTTGTGTTAAATTATAATAGTTATAAAATTTACGTGTTATATAGCTTGATTCTAATATGGCCTTGTTGATTTTGTTTCAGGTAAGGACATATATAGAAGAAATAGAGATAACAAATTCATTGTTCTTGTTTTTTATAGCAACTCTAGAAGACAGTAATATATATATATATATAAAATTATTGGATTAAAGTTGTATATATAATATGCAAATTTGGTGCATATTTATTGGATTGGAGCTGCAAATTTATGAAATCTGGTGCAAATTTAAAAGACAACGCTTATTTTAAGTGATTATTTGTAGAGAGTATTTAAAATATAAGTTGTATATATTAAAAAATTCATGAGCATTAGACAACGCTTTAAATAAAAAAATATTGCCTATAGTAAGGAATAAAAATCGCTTTTAAAGAAAGCGCTGCCTAAAGAGATGCATTAGAAAGCGCTTCTAAAGTAAAAAGCACTACCTAAAAGGAATTTTAGAGAGCTTTTTTTTTTTTAAAAATGCTGCCTAAAACAAAAAAAAACTAAAATATACATTACACAACACTTTTAAAAGTGCTGTCTAAAAGGGTGCATTAAAAAGCGCTTCTGAAGTAAAAAACGCTACTTATAGGGGCCTTTAGAGAGCGCTTATAGAATAAAGCGCTGCCTAAATGCGTCATAAGCAGTGCTTTTACATTGACAAAAAGCGTTATCTTTACTTGCAACAATGCAGGAATAAACATTACTTTAAAGCGCTGTCTATGGAGAAAAAAATGCTGCCTATAGGGGCCTTTAGAGAGCACTTATGGAATAAAGCGCTACCTAAATGCGATATTAAACAGCGCTTTTACATTGACAAATAACGTTGTCTTTACTTACAACAACGCATGAATATGCATTACTTTAAAGCGCTGTCTATGTAAAAAAAGCGCTGTCTATTCCCTTCTACGATGTAGTGATTATTGGATCAAAGATTTCACAAGTTATATTGGAACTACAAATAACTTACATACTGAGCTTATGACACTTCTGCATGATATTCAATTCGCTTGGGAGGATGGCTACCATAACATAATTTGTTATTCAGACTCTCTCCAAGCTATTCAACTTGTAACTTCTCCTCTTAACTAGTGACATGTCTACGCGCCTATTATAACTACTATTCAAGATTTGATGAAGCAACCTTGGCCGTTTTCTTTGGTTCCCACTCTTCGAAAGAAAACACGTGTGCTGTTATTTTGGCAAAGATGAGATTATCGATGGTTTAACCTCTTCTTCTAATTGTGCTCCCCTCTCCTAACCTCTTTCTTTCTTTACAAGCATATGCTAAACTTGTTTTTTTGTTTCTTTTTCATTCCCTTAAAAAAATATAAAAAAAATAAAATTAATAATTTTTTTTTACCAATGTTAATAAATTATAGAAAAAATTAGTGTCTTACTTTAAAATTTGATAATTGTCTTTATTATTTAAAACTCAAATAAATCTACCTTGTGCCCCATCTATAGAAACTTCGTATTGAAAAAACAAATTAAATAATTAATTATATTTTTATTAAAAACAATGTACAATTTCTAAAACAAGTTAGCACTACCCTTTTATTAAAATCAATGTACAATTTCCAAGGGTACAAGTTAGCATTATTTTTTTATTACTAAGAAAACGCATAACATTTTTGTGCGTTGTTTCTACTCTTTACTCCCATTAACCAACTAAACAAGCAAAGCACTCTCAAACTGCATCAAAAACCGATCAAATTATGGAAAACCATCTTCCATCTCCTCCAAACCCTAACAATGCCCAATGCCCCACCGAAGAAAACGACGACGACATCGACGAACAAGAAGACGAAGACGATGAGGAAGACGAAGACTACATCGATTCCGACTCACCGACTCCCCGAATCCCCCAATCCCCAATCGCCCGTTTGCGAGAGCAGAAATTCAAGCTTGAAACCCTCTCCCGGCGACTCTCATCGGAACTAGTCCCTATCCGAGTCCACGACGTCATAATTCGCGGCAACACGACCACAAAGGACTGGGTGATCGAAGCGGAACTGAAGGGAATCGAGGATGTTACCACTGTGCAGGAACTCATTCGCGCCTCGGAAATCGCACTCACTAGGCTTCAGAGCCTTGGGGTTTTTGATTCTACTAAGGTTAGTCTTGAGCCTGGACCGCTGGAGTTGCCTAACACTGCCAATGTCGTTGTCAACATCGTGGAGGCTGTTAACAAAATCTCTGGTGAATTTGGTGTTTATACCAAACCCTCGGTACAATCTCATTCTCAATTTTTTATTTCCATCTGATACTGATTTTGCTATGGAATTAATCATAGTGGGAGGCGGCAATGCTATTTGAGACATTGTAAATAAAACTCTAATTAGGCTGGTTCTATATTTGAGCTTATTGTAATTGTTAATGAATTGTGATATTACCACGCTTCTGGATTTTCATTTAGGATTATTAGTAATGTCTGGTGCACAGACAACAACCTGTAACTATGAAGAGAAAGAAGATGTTTATGTTCTAGATAGATAAGACAATGTTAATAATTTAAGAGTCTGCATTAATTTTCAGAAAGGGATAACAGAGACTAGGGGATGGTTCTATATGATCATTCTTGGGAAGCTTTTGGCTTTGTAGTTTACAGCGGAAGTGTGTGTCACTTCCTTATGTGGATAAGAAATCATGATTTTAGTCTCACTTGTAGTTGGGATTGCTAGTACCAGCATAGAATTATTGTTTTTTAATTTCATTACCACCTTTTACTTACACAAACTAATGGTTTTTGGTTAAATTGTTGAAAAACCCCATTCTTCCCACCCTCGGGGTTAGGGGGTTAGTGTCATATTTTAGTATGAGCTTTGACAAATTGGCTGACAATGCTCTATTGAGGCGTGACACATGTAATGACTTGCTTTTTGACAATTAATTGTTGAAGGGAATCAGACTTATCTGCTTCACAGCCTCTTAATGTCAGCTTTTATACAGTTGCAGCAAAACAAACATATATATTTTATTGTATAGATGGATGTTCATTTATAATCTTTTTTCTGTGATATATTTGAACTTTTTTGTTCCAGTCCTTGTTTGTTGGAAAGGGTGTATTGATCTACTGAACAATTGTTGGTCTTAATATGCTAATATTTTTTCAATTTGGAATTTTGTCAATGCTTTTGTAGACCAGTTCTTGGACTGCTGAAGGTACTCTTAAGTACAAAAACCCTTTAGGTTATGGTGATCTATGGGATGCTTCTTTGGCTTATGGTGTCAACCAAGCAGCAGAGGTAAGTGTGGGGTTATATGTCCCTCGACTTAAAGCAACTTCAACTCCCATTGCCGCACGTTTGTCCATGCTTTCCCAAGATTGGCAAGAGTTTTCTTCGTACAAAGAGCAATTGTTGGGCATGTCTCTTGGCTTAATCTCAACAAAGCACCATGATTTGGCATACACTCTTGGATGGCGTACCTTAACAGATCCATTACAAATGTCATCCAGGTCTGTAAGGAGGCAGCTCGGCCATGGTTTGTTATCATCTTTGAAGTATACATTTAAAATTGATAGGAGAAACTCACCAATTAGGCCAACAAAAGGACATGCTTTTGTTTCTACCACTCACCTTGGTGGCCTTACACCAGATCATCGTAGCTTGCGGTTTCTGCGTCAGGTACACTGAAATCCTTTTCTTGTTTTTTAAAATTAATCTGCTGCAATGTAATTGTATTGCATCCTGACTAAACATATTAGTCTAATAGTTTTAAGGTCAAGTTATATAGAAGAAGTAATAATTGACATAGCTCTGGGAGTGCTGGGGTTTTCAAATTGATGCAGAGTGCAGACCCAATTTCTCAATAAAATTACATTAAGGATTATATCAGGGTTAAAACTAGATTTGTTGGGCACGGGCAGATTCCACCTCCTTGGGCACAGGACTAGTTCAGAACCTGATAGTCTGTTCCTATCAGTGTTGTCTATGGCGGAGAGCCAAAATCCCGCCATACCAGCCGATATTTATCATTGCGGCGAGCCTAAAAACCGCCATGTATATCCGCCATAGCCGCCATGGCGCTGCTATTTGATAACACTGCTTCCAATAGCAGAAAATCTGTAGTAATATACTTTTTCTCCCGATCTATCTTGACATGATGACATCATTGAAATTTTAATTTTGTTGGTAGTAGAAAGGTTAGAGGTACATGTTTCACTTGGCTGCTTATGGCCTTCTAGGCTTCTACTTTTTTAATGGGGGCTATATATCTCTTTGGTAATTGCAGAACTTGATTGTCTATAATGCAATTTTGCCACTGTCTGTTTTGAAGTTGAAAGTGATTTTGATTATGGAAAATGCTAAACATTGGGGGGTGCACTTTTGTCACTGTCTTTTATACTGTTTGGTTTTTATATTTTTTCTGGACTAACTTGTTCAACTCTTCTTATGCAGGAGTTTGATGTTCGGTATGCTATTCCCTTTGGATTTTATAATACAGCACTGAACCTAGGGATTTCTGCTGGTGCTGTTTTTCCATGGGGACATGATTTCAGGAACAAGCCATCTCCCCTTCCTGAAAGATTTTGTTTGGGTGGTGATTTCTCTCCAATTTGCACCCTAGGAGGGCCAATGACATTATGGGGATTTAAAACTAGGGGATTAGGTCCTGCTGAACTACGAAGACAAAGCAGAGATGTATTCAATGATGACAATAATGATTCCTCTAAGTGGGACTTCGTTGGAGGAGATCTTGCTGTTACAGCTTTTGCAGATCTCTCTTTTGATCTTCCGATTAGGTGGTTAAGAGAACATGGGGTTCATGGCCATGTTTTTGCTGGTGCCGGGAATACTGCTAAATTAACTCAGAATGAATATAAGCACTTCTCTCCTCAGAGGTTCCTAGAATCCTTCCGAACATCAGTCGGATGTGGAATTGTTATTCCTACTAGTCTTTTCCGCCTAGAGGTTAGCTTATGCTTCAATTTCGTTACATTTAAATAGGCAGGAGGTAAGCTAATCCATTTTTGTTTTAGGTTTAGGATGGTGGGGTGACTTGGGAAATATAATGGAATTTAGGGCACATTCTTATTTGTTATGTTTGGACATTGGGATAGTTGTATGTTTTTTCTACTGCGCACATCCTAGTGGTGTGTGTAATATATACTCTTTTGATTTATTTATGTACTAATAATTTAGGTAAACAACAGGCTGTGCTATGAAAGTCTTGATCTCCTTTCTGATATCGCTCTCCCCCATCCTCCCCCCTAATTGTTTTTTTTTATCATGACTTTCTATGATTTCTTCACTGATTTACTTCTCACTGTTTCAGGCTAACTACTACTACATACTCAGGCAGAATGAACACGATCGTGGTAAAACTGGATTTAGGTTCAGCTTCTCAGCTCCTTCATAGAGGATGATTTCAGAACCAAAATTCTTTTCTTTCTATGTAGTTCTCAAGCATCAGACATTTTTCTTGTCTGTCAGTGGAGGGCTAGTTATTTTTCAATTCCTTGTCATTTAAAATCCAGACCGAAAATCAAGAAAAGGCATTGTTTCTGATTTGAGGGTTTATAGAAATTAGTTTCTTGAATAGATATTACCCCGCAGGGGTCATAACATGTAGCTGATGCTCATTGTATGTCAGATGAATTAAATTCCAAATTTATGCACTCATGTAAGAAGGCCTTAATTGGCACTAAGAACTCTCAAACTTTGTTTGTCCAGCATAAATTGCAAATAAGTCATAACATTGGTTGAGGTCATCCTTGTGTGTTGCAGTGTACTTTCTTGCAAATTCCAAATGATGGAACGATAAATTGGTTTTATGCTAGTAAACATGTACTCTTAAATTTGGTGGGTGCTTGAAGCTTTTTAGAAGTTCTCAATGATTAAACTGACTTTCTTAATATACTCTTGTACTAACAGAAATATATCCGAGACTCAGTAGGTATCATCAACATGATCAGGATAATTAGTTAAGCAACTTGTGTCAGGGTCATGGAAACCTGAACCGCCTCTGTAGGATCTGAACTGAGCCAAATGCCAAAAGGGTGAGTACGACGAGGTAGCATCTTTTAGTAGGCTCTTATTATCACTGAGGAACAATAGGCAATTATTTATTCTAGAAGCATGAAGCATAGAAAAGTTGGATCACTCCATAAAATTCTATATGTCCCTTAAATATGCATCAAACGACGGTAAACACAAAGGAGATTTCTCCTTTTTTTTTTTTGTCTTCTACTTCATCCAAGTACACCAAGGGGCTATCAATATTATCTACTTATTTGACAAAAGTTTTACATTTTTAAACTAGTTTTTCCATTAATTCAAGTGACTTTGTGTAGTTTCCTCCTCTTTTTTGACAATGGTATAGTTTCCTGCTTGTCTCTTGTTTGAAACTTTTTGGTAATTTGGAGTATGTGTCTACTAAATTATCTGGTTTATGGTAGATCATGAAATTAGTTATGTAACTTAGTTATTATTAGTACTTGTTAACCATGACGTTTTGTTAATTTGTAATTAAGAATTGTGTAAAAAAGTTATTAAGAATTATAATTTGCTGCTAACTAGTTTTATAATCTAAGGTAGTTGTCAAAATATGTTGTAAATCTTTTATCACATAGTATACTATTATACATCTTCGGCCTCATAAAAGTATCTCATTTATATCTATCTATGCTCAAGACTAAACACCTATTATAAGAGGGAGGGGAGGGAGTACTCACAAAATGTATTTATATCCATGCGAAAGTTACTATATTAATGCACATTAAATTATTTTGGTTTTGTGGAAAGAATTGATTTGACTTTGGGAGAGATCTAGATTTAATGTCTTAAAGATATAAATATGATTAAATCTAATATAAAGAACTTATAAACAACTTAAAAAAAACAAAACAAAACACGACTATTAAGCCAGCTTGTTCAAATGACCATAATAACAAAATTTTAGACGAGAAATAGTTATATTCCTACTAAATTTACCAATGACGTGAAATAGTTAGGGACATTAGGGAAATATGAATAATACAGTACAATATATGAAATGGAAAATACAAAATAAGATTATCCAATCCTAACGAGAGAGAGGATATATTAGAGCCACAAGGCCACAAGAACAACAACACTACATGAAAATCATTCACGGCTAACAAACAAGCTCTCCCTCTTCCTCCTTCATGGTATATCCTCCTAGCATCTTCTCCTGATACTTTCTCTCAATATCCAAATTTATCTTCATTCTTTCTTATATTCATTTATATTCTCATTCATCTTGAATTCACCAATAGTCTCCAATTAAACCATGCTTCACTCCACTTCTCTTCTCCATCATACCCACCGTTTCCTTTTCTCTTTCCGCTCCAAACCTTCTCTCTTAGATAATCCACACTCACATTCTCAATTACAATCACAACAACAACCACAACCTCTCTCTTTTGCAAATTCACTATCTCTTCCATCATCATCATCATGTTGCCGCGTCGCACGTATTTCTACCGAAGCATTAGAGCTATCTCACCCCTCTCCCAGCTTCAATTTCCGCCGCGAGATCGCCAGGCTCACCGCCCTCCGCGATAAGCTATCCCGATGCAATAATCTGAACGACAAGCTCAGAGTGATCGACGCGGACGATAGAGTTAAACGTTTCTTCCGTTCTTCCTCCCGAAATGCTGGATTAGCTAGGGTTTTATTGGACTCCAAAAGCTTGTTTTTGATTATGTGCTTGGTTGCTTCGGGTCAAGAGCATGTGTTGTGTTTGAGTGAAACTGTACCGGAATTGGACTCGCCGGCTATGGCTTCTGGTTCTGTTAAGAGTGCGTTTTATGCTCTGGCGAAGATGATCGAGAATATGGATTCCAGCAATTCTGGTGTTGGATTTGGGAAGTTGGATATGGGGATGAGTTTGGAGGATCATGAAATTCTGGATTTGAATAACTTGTTAGAGACTTTGGCACAAATTGAGAGCTTCTATGATTGTATCGGAGGAGTTATTGGGTAAATTTCTTCACTTTTAACTTTTAATTATAACAGTGTTGGAGGAAATGAAATGAAATTTAGCTTCCTTTGACTAGAACCAGATTCCCTTGTTTATAAACATTAATAAACAAGTAGAAAAAAAGAAGCTAGGGACATAACCATAGAAGGACATAACATAACTATTTTGAATCTTAATTATCTCATTTCATTCAAATTTTGTGGTAACCAAGATACTAAATAGCGTTAGTGGGCTAATGGTTGATTCTGATGCACAACATAGAAAACTATTAAACCATTCTGTTGCAGCGGATGCAGCAACATAAAAAAAATATTGCAGCCTATGACACGGTTGCAGACCTTTGTTTAAAATCTCAGTGAGAACATAAATTGGCGTTACAAACCATCTCCTGAGAGTGGAAGAGGGAAATTATATGGTTTTCCATTAAATAAAGTTTCATGTTCAATTCGAATGAATTTGAAAAAAAAGTGGAGCTTTGCCTCCTTTAAGTGTTAGTGAAATTACCATTTGAGATAGAATAGTCAGTTTTAAAGGTAATTAGTGTTAAAACACGAGAGGAGTTTTCTTGTCCATTTCCCACTTGTTAAATGTCATCCAAACAAAGTGAAGTCTTATTAATATCCATGCTTTTACCATTCAGACAATATATATATTCCTTCACGGAGAAGTTGTACTTTGCATGTTAATAAGGGCTGTTAGTATCCACGCTTTTATCTTTCAGACAATATATATTCCTTCATGGAGAAGTTGTACTTTGCATGTTAACAAGGGCTATTAATATCCACGCTTTTATCATTCAGAAATATATATCCTTCACGGAGAAGTTGTACTTTGCATGTTAATAAGGGCATATGTGGTTTAGATATGAGTGATCAATATGCGTTTACTCATTTGTTTTCTGAAATTAATACGTTGCAGTTATCAGATTACGGTTCTGGAACTTATAGCCCAACAATTGGTTGACCGGAAGAATACAAACTGGTCTCAGCACATGGGTGATGTGAAAGAAAGCCAAAATTTGGGAGTTGATGCACCAACCGGGCTTGATCTTTCTGAAAATACAGAGTATGCATCTCAAGCAGCTCTTTGGGGTATAGAGGTTGTTACAATTACATTACCTAGTTCATAATTTGCATTTAACTGCATATGTTTCATAGATACAGGGAATAATAAGATCTTGTCCTTCTAGGGTTTGCCAGACCTAGGTGAAATTTATCCCTTGGGAGGCTCTGCCGACAGACTTGATTTAGTTGATTCTAACACTGGTGAATGTCTTCCTGCTGCAATGCTTCCGTTTTGTGGGAGGACTTTGTTGGAAGGTCTTATAAGAGATCTTCAGGTATTAGATATGCTGCAATTATTAAACTCATTATAGTAGCACTTCATATGCTCAATGCTTGATAATAAAACAAGACAAGATTAGTAATAATTTGTGATAGGCCATAAATTATCTAATTCCGCTGTTTCACATTTCAAGGCTAGAGAATTCTTGTACTTCAAGTTATATGGCAAACAATGTATTACTCCTGTTGCAATAATGACAAGTTCCGCAAAGAACAACCACAAACACATCACATCCCTGTGCGAAAGACTCTCATGGTTTGGAAGAGGTCGATCAACTTTCCAACTTTTTGAGCAGGTTTTATATAAATCTATACAATTGCTTCTAAGAAGGGATAATCTTATTTTGATAATATCTAAATATCTAATGTGTGAATTGGCAGCCTCTTGTTCCGGTTGTTGGTGCAGAAGATGGGCAGTGGTTAGTCACTAAACCATTCAGTCCCTTGAGCAAGCCTGGTGGTCATGGTGTCATATGGAAACTTGCTCATGACAAAGGCATCTTCAAATGGTTTTTTCATCAAGGAAGAAGAGGTGCAACTGTGCGCCAAGTCAGGTCTGTCATTATTGATACCTTAGACGTTTGGTTTTTTAGTTTTCTAGTAGAGAAACTTATTTTTAATAATCAGTGAAACTGTTGGTCTTGCAGTAATGTTGTGGCTGCTACAGATGTAACCCTCCTGGCCTTAGCAGGGATCGGTTTGCGCCAAGGAAAGGTAGGAGTAGTTTTAATTGACAATTCATTCTTTTTCGTTCCTTCACAAAGTTGGTAGGGGTGAGAACATATAATAAATAAATGTGTTATCATCTTTAATTATAATTCCTTACATTCTATGTTAAAAAAATTCCTTTTGCATGAGATTTGAGTAAAGCAACAAATTAAAGATATTCCTTATGTATATCCTTTAAATGTGTGATTTGCATGTGGCATTATACCTAACTAGTGGGAAGACAGGCGCACTTACATGCTTGTATGTATGCTTTTCTTGAATGAATACCATAGTCGGTCTTCATCATGGCGTAAATTATGCTTGAAGTTTTGCACGAAATTTTATCATTTATTATTGTTTTTTGTTTTTTGCTATATTTTTAACTGTGCCTGTTCTACAGAAACTGGGGTTCGCATCTTGCGAGCGTATCTCAGGTGCAACAGAAGGAATTAATGTACTGATGGAAAAGAGAAGTCCAGATGGAAACTGGGAATATGGCGTTTCTTGCATTGAATACACTGAATTTGACAAGTTTGGGATTACTGACGGATCTCTTGTTCCAAAATGGTACATGATTTTCCTGTATTGTTTTATTGCAATATTTCATCTATCTCATGAAATGTTATTTGACTTTTCATCATCTAAACTGAATTAATACATTCAATCTCTGATACATTGCACAGCTTTAAATCATTTGGAACTTATATGCAGCTATAGTATCCTTATAGTGAGACTCATATAAGTGAATAAGTTTAATCTTAAGAATGTAGCATCCCGAAACTTGTGTTAATAACTTAATATTGAGAATGACATACATCTATAAAGTATAAACTTGCATCCTCAGAAATGGTTACAGTCTCGAGCATCAGAACAATAGAAGATTATCATAAACTACAGTCAGTAACACAGTCATTTGTAGTCATGAACTAATGATAGGTTCCTAGATCAGGATATTGACAATTGTATTAAAAAAAACCCAAATCCATCCTCCAAAGATGAATGACTTGCCTAGCTGGAGCCTTTGTTTGCGTTTTTTCTAATCTTATCTTTTGAAAATGGGGAGTTGTTTTTGTTTACTCCACAGCAGTGTTAGTTTGTTTGATGTTGAAGTTTTCAATTTGTTATATTAGAGATGTTTTTCTTCTGTTGTATTTTAGGCTTTCTAATTTGAAAACATAATGCTAATACTAACTTTATTTTCTACAATCAAGTTTGCAGGCAGAGTTTCCAGCCAATACAAACATCTTATATGTTGATTTACCATCTGCGGAGCTAGTTGGGTCAAGTAGGAATGTGAATAGTATACCAGGAATGGTGTTAAATACAAGAAAGACAATAGTTTATGTGGATCAGTTTGGAAGACACTGCAGGTATGCATTTTTCCTTAAAAAATTCTCATTGTAATTTTATTAGTTTTCTCGGGTTTTATTTATTTAGTTTAGCATAAATTGAAAAATATATTTTATCTAAAAAAACCTGTTTCTTAATTTTATAGTAAGGATACATGTTTAATCACAGAAGTAGCTACTTTATACAACAAAAATAAAAATCAAGTAGGAATTTCTGATTTTTGATAAATGACAACCACGAGCTGAAATAAATGGTTTCCGTTCCGGCTTAAAAATGAAAACTATCCTTTCATTCTCTTCATTGGTTATCGGCTATCCTGATCTTTACTTAGTGAAGTTGGTTGATGTTTGGTTATGGTAGATTAACAGTTTCTTCAATTACTTTGTATACTTCACAGATTTTATAAGTCGCCCTTTCCCTTGAATGAAACTTTACACTCTGTCTTTATTGCTCATCCCTTTTTTTCCTTTGATTTTCCAGTGTCTCTGGTGGCAGACTGGAATGTACGATGCAAAATATAGCAGACAGTTATTTTAATTCATATTCATCCAGGTGCTATAATAGCGTGGAAGGCATGTGCTTGTTTCATCTGACAAAACATATATATCTTTCTCTTTCATATTTGATTGAGCATGACAAGACCCTTATATAATTATGAGCAGATAAGCTAGATACATTTATTGTATATAATGAAAGGAAAAGGGTTACCTCATCTGCTAAGAAAAAAAGAAGACATGGACACAAGTCTTTACGCCAGGTTTGATTTACTAAATACTACGTGTGAAGTATATTTTTTATGTCTGGGATGCCTAAGCACCGATACACACTATCTTCTATTGTGTTTATTCCATTTTAAGCTCCATACAGTCCTTGTACTCATCTGTTGCATCTTGTTAGCCTCTCCTTAGGTTTGCACTAGATATTTCCCAGGATACCTGGACTTGTGCTCACTTAACAGCTAATGAAGAGTATTCTACTTCTGTGTTCTAGAACCATGGTGATAGTTGGAGAACCACACTAGATGTTGTTTGAATTATTAGGATTAATATTAATTTCCTCACATATTTACCTAGACAAAACTTGCATTTTATATCTTGAACATGTCAGTGACATTTGCTCTTATTCTAAATATCTATTTGGCATTTATATGCAGACACCTGATGGCGCTCTATTGGATATATTAAGAAACGCTCATGATCTTCTCTCACCATGTGATATAAAACTTCCTGAGGTATAGATAGTATGCATACCATCATATAAGTTAATTCGCATACATTTGGTTAAGTGTAATTCCATATTACGGTATGATATTCAGATATTGCTGAATGTTTTTTAATCGGTGGATAATTATCTTTATACATTTAGTTATTCATGTTATGTTTTTTCTTTGTGGCAGATCGAAGCTGATGAGAACTACATTGATTCAGGACCACCATTTCTTATCCTTCTTCACCCTGCTCTTGGTCCTCTTTGGGAAGTCACCAGACAAAAGGTGACATTATATATTGCTATTATGTGATTTTCAATGTTCGGTATCAATAACTTCCTCATTTTCGACCATATTGGTTGTATAAATATAAAATTATGAAATTTTAATCGAGTTTAATTTGTAAATGTGTTGTCTTTTTTAAACAATTGATTTCAAGCTTTATTATAAATGGGTCAAAACATGTTCGCTAAACGAGCATTATGAGATATTTGTCCGGTTAATGATATTGTATTTGGCATGAATGTAAACCTTTTGAATAAAAACCCCTTCCCACAACTATTTGGATGTAGTTCCTTTGCTAATGCTATTTTTCTAAGACATGAAAGTTTGGCAGCTTTATCTGTGAACTGTGTTGATCATCATTTATTAAACAAATGATTCCAATATTTTTGCTATTCTTTGTTGTGATCAGTTTTATGGTGGTTCCATATCAGTGGGCTCTGAGTTGCAAATAGAGGTTGCAGAGTTCTTTTGGAGTAATGTTCAGGTTCTACTTCTCAAACATATATTGTTAACTTATGCCATTTAGTTGATAAGATAGCGGCTGATGATTGTGACTTGACCCTTTATTCCAGCTCAATGGAAGCCTGGTCATTATTGCTGAAAACGTTATGGGCTCAATGAAGATTGATGAGAACAGTGAATCCATACTACATCATGGGCAAAGGTACAGTGCTGCCTAGTGTTTCTATCAATGCCGTGATTCTGTCATCCCTTGATCTTACCTCCCGAGTCCTGATCCTAGCCATCAGTAACAATAATTATAAATTGCGAGCTTCTTGTTACTTTACTAGGTGTGGAAGATGTAAATTGCAGAATGTCAAGGTGTTGAACGAGGGAGTTGATTGGAGTTATGATGGAAATGTGTATTGGAAACATGATGTGAAACGGTCTGAGGTGCTGAAGATTGTACTGCATGGAAATGCTGAATTTGAAGCTACTGATGTTGTCTTACAGGTTAAATTTATGTTTTAGTTATTTCTCGTGGATACTTCATGTAAACAAAAAACAATACACTTATTTTTATTGTCACTTTACCAATACAGGGAAATCATGTCTTTGAAGTTCCGAATGGCTACAAACTTAAGATTATTCCCGGAAGCCAAGGTCTCTTAACATTTTAGAATTTTCTTTGACTTGATTGTCTTAACTGCCCAAGTAATAACTGTTTTTCTTTTTGCTGTCAAGCCATATAAAGCTTTGATAACTTAAGTACATGAATGACTGTTTGCATTAATTCAGGTTTAGCAATCCAGTTGAATCCGATTGAACAAGGCATGATGGACAGTGGAAGCTGGCACTGGGATTACAATATAGAAGGTTCTCACATTAAACTAGAATTAGTAGAACAATAAACCACTAACCACATTGATGTCTGCTGCGTGAATCATGGTTCACAGTTGATGTTGGAGCTCGCCTATAATAATCTCGATAACCTAAGTGACACTGACAGGTTAAACAGAAGTTAAACCTTTGTGACTTAGATTGTTTTAGCCCATTGTTGTAATATGTTTGTAAAATCTCTTCTATCTATTATCTTTGTTTTTTTTTTCTTTCTTTTCCCTGTAATTATTTTATTGGGTTGATTCAGTGTAATTAACATTGTAAAATTAAGCAATGGATACATTTCTGCCTCTTTTATCATTATTATTGGAAGAGTTTTTCAATCCAACCCTAAAATGGGAGTTTACTGGAAGGCTCCTAATAGTGTGAGTGTCACTTGAAATTGAATAGCCCCAGCCTCAGCTGTAATTCTTATAATTATCCATGCCAGATTATGCATGTAAACAAAGTTAATATGCAGTTTTTCTTTGGATGTAAGCTGAGCCAGTTGCCAGTTTTTCCAACCTGAAATTCTGCTGTCATTTTCACAGCATCTATAGGTCCTTTGTTTATCAAGTCCACATCTATAGGCAAAGCTCCTTTATTTCTTTGTCCGTTATTTTAATAGTATATTTTAATATTGCCAGTTTCTGAATATATCAATATATTTCTTATTTTTTTGTTAGAATTTTGAAAATATTATAAAAACCAAAGTAAATTAAAGCATATATTTTTATTCGTTTATGATTTTTGTCTTAAAAGTACACCAATAATAATTTTACCAGCGAGAGTTAGTAAACTCATAGTCGATGCCCTCTGAGAATTGTATAGTGATTGCTCTTGGTTTGTATGACCTATTAATGTTGATTAGAATTATGCTTGATTGCTCAATTTCTTGGCCATGATATCCTCCATCAGCCATAAATGCGTTCTAAATCATATTCCAATCAATATTGCCATGCGCTAAACATGGGCCGACATAACCAACTTGGGCCATCAACTATTTTTACATGATCTTGTTTTTCTAGATAAATCATTAATCGAGGCGAGCACAAATGAGTTTGCGTTGAATTCTGTCTATTCAAGAACCCGATCCAAGAAGCCAAACATGCACACAAACCCTTTAAGCATGAGTCATGCAAAGGTAAAATATTTTTCTAAAACATTAAGAAATCAAACATGCACACAACATCTTAAGCATGAGCCGTGTAAGGGAGAAATATTTTTCTAAGACAAATCAAGAAATCAGACATATTTACAACCCCTCAAGCATGAGTTGTGCAAGATCTAAATGATTTCATAAGACCAATAAATGATTATCTGACATGCCTACACAAATGCTTATTTTCGACTGAGCTTGCTCTAATTTTCTCGATGTGGAAGACTCAAATTGTGTCCGACCAATGTTCGCTGATCGCTTGACTATTCCATTTCTCCTAGTTGTGATGATAGTTACGAGTCTTGGAAATAAGATCCCCTCATGACCTATCCCTTCTTCCTGCAACCCTAATAAGGTAGTCTTAAGTGCAACCGTCATTTGTCTTTTTTCTACCACTCAAACTCTATAAATAGGCTTCACCATTTCTCATTTTTCTCATCTCTTTATTTCACCTTACAAATTTCTAGCAAGTACCTTTGTGCCATTCTCCCTCTCAAGTCATGAATTTTCAAAAAGCGCTCAAGATACTAGGTAACACTCTATTTCTTATATGTTTTTAATTTCTTATTTCATGGTATTTATTCGAGAGTGTGACTCATTTGGGAGGATAATAAAGCCCAAAAATGATGCCAAGATGTGCAATTTGTGGACTAAATGTCTACAAAGCTCAAAACGGGGTACACAAATAGTAGATTGGTGATTCATAGAAATGGATTTCTTTGGTTCTTACGAAAGTTCGTCTAGTGATAGTTTAGAGAGCCAACCACCTAGTGATAGTGACAATAACGCAATGTCTTTTGTCTTAGCCCCGACTAAATCCGCTATGGCACTCTCCATCTCTAATAAGGGCTCTTTTTGTGAAGAGATCACGAGTATTGATTCAATATGTTTTGAATATGGTTGGATTCAAGCCTCCCGGCTAGACCTCGAGTTGTCCAATACTGGAATGAGGCAGATGTGATGCTAGAATCATGTTTGTCGGGCGAGGAGATCAACACATGTTATCCTAAGGGAGTGGAGGGAGGACATTTTTATTTTTATATCGGGGTGATAAAGTACTTCGGAGTTGGTATCCTCTTTGTCATCCTTCAATCCAAGATCCCACAGATTATCAATGTTGCATCTTCCCAGTTGAAATTGAACAACATGACATTTATCCGAGGTTTCAAGGTCTTACGTTAGGGGTATAAACATCAATCCCACGACAAACATATTATTTTTCTTTCTATGAGACCAAAGGGGTTAACATGAGAAGATTGATCTCTGTGAGTTCCATCCATGGGAAAACTCTTTTCTTCTCTTACACTTTCAACCACAAACACTAGAAGGATACTTCTATTCGAGTTAGGGACGATGCTTGATGTCTTGAGGTAATATTAAAAGAAGATGAGACACATAGGTTCCCTCTATATTAGATATGTGAGCCCCTCACAATCATGAGCTACGACATGACCAAGCTTAGCAAGAAGGAGAGAGGGAAAGTCAAACTATTGGAGTGGTTTATCATTATGAGGGTGCAAGACGTACTTATACTTGAGGTGATATCCCGACTGATGAATTTTCTACGTAACTCTTGATATCTTTCCCTTATACATTGTTTCATGATTAGTTCTCACTTGTCTTGTTTGTTTCCTTGTTTCCGGAGTGGATGACCTCTTATTGATACAAGAAAAGAAAGAGAAGACGTCGAAGGCTAACACTCATCGGGACGAGGTGGAATTGGTTCACAAGAGTGACCCCTCCAACTTCCAATCCCGGGATGCAAATAAATGGAAATCACACACGGAGGGGAAAGTCATCAATGATGGGAGACTGATTTAGTAACTGTATTAATATTAATTTAATTATTTCCATGACAATTTCAGTCGAAATTGATATGCAAAAATAATGAATTTTTTTTTAAATCCGTCACTAAAGAAAGGAGCGGTCACAATATCCGTCACTAAAATCAGTCATAGTTTCAGTTGCTACAACATTCTCACATTCGATCTCTAAATTTCAGTCGTTGATTTCGTCATAAAAGGTTAATGACTAAAACTTTTCTAAATGATAATATATGATCAGTTTATCGGTCACTAAACCGTATAGTGACCAATTTTAAAGCTTTTTTGGTCTCTAATTCGATCACTAAAAGCAAAATTTCTAGTAGTAATCCTCATAAGAGTACAAGGTCGCCCTAACGAAGAGGAATATGGAAGATCCTAGAAAATGGCCAATTGATATAGATATCATTGCCTCCGTAGACATGAAGATGGGAAATTTAATGGAAGATAGTGGCACAGGCTCTTCAAAAGGCGATTTTTTTGCCACTCTTGGAGAATGAGGGCTTCGTTTGTGGGGTAAGAGTTTTGATGGGATTATGTTCACATATAACCATCTCAATGTCCCTAGAGGCATGGAGAAGGGAAAGTTTTCGGGATCTCAAAAGAAGTTCTACCTTCTCAAAATTTATCTAACGAGGAGTGTCGTCTTGGATCGAGCAATGTTCGAAGATTCTCATGCTTCATCTAAAAGGGAGGGTGACCTGAAGGCCGAAAACAAAAATGTACATGAGGGTTATGAGTTTCACAAGACCATGCTAACTTTTTCCAATGAGAGGATAACTTACTCTTGAGAAAGAGTTAGCCGGAGCCCAAACATTCTCTAAAAAGACCGGGCAGGAGAAAAATTAACTGTTGGAGGAAAAGAAAACCCTCAAGAAAAAATTCTAGAACCAGAATAACAAACTTGTCAGAGTAGAGAATGAGCTAAGTAGTATCAAAGATGAACTTGTGAAGACCCTCGATGATGACCTCCTTTGTAAGGACCCAAGTACATTGTTTGTACCTCGAGCTCAATCTTGGAAAGCTAGATTACTTCAAGATGGTGGTGGATAGTCGTCTGGTGGAAGAAACTGACCCCGTGGATGACTAGCATTTGGAAAAAGAGATAGAGACAACACTATCTACCAAAGAGGAAGTTACTACTGACGAGGTTGCTAGAGGGGTTAGAACTATTCCACTAGAGATCTTTCTAAAAGATGTCTCCTCCATCTAGGATATCATTTTATGTTTTTATTCCTGTTATAATTTGTTTATGTAATCTCACCCCATTGTTAGGGACCATTTTGATTGTAATTTTTAATTAAGGAATTTCAATTCTATTATACCTTTGCTTTTATTCTTTTTTGAAGTGGATCCTGAATTTTATTAGTATTTGTTTAGACCATTTGGAGTCTTTTAATGTCCCTTGAACCGTAGTGTCTCGCTCGTAGACTTAAGAATCTCTATAGGATTCTTACTGTTGTACCCCAAAATTTGCTCTCTCATTTCTCAAAGGATCAACCTGGACCCTCAGGTTGGCTTCCATCCAGTTTCAAGTCTTGAATTACAACTTTTCAAGAAAATCATTCACAATGGAAAAATGGTCAAAAACACACTGAAAAGTCAATCTTTGAATTTTAAATCCAAATCAAGTTTCAACAATTATATTTCATCAAAACATGAAATTGGTTCATCAAAAAAATCAGAAGTCAGAAGTTACTTCGAAAAAAATGAAATTTCTAAGCATTTAGAAAATTTTCTAAGTGTTAAGAGAATATAATACTTCAGAACTTCTGAGCCAGCCTCCACGCAAGTGCAGTCAGAAGTTGCAAACACGGTTCAGAACATGACGCTTCAATCAAAACATGTAGAAGCGATGCTCTTTGTTCAGAACATGGTGCTTCAATCAGAACATGTAGAAGCGATGCTCTTTGTTCAGAACATGATGCTTCAATCAGAACATGTAGAAGCGATGCTCATTGGTCAGAACATGATGCTTCAATCAGAACATGTAGAAGCGATGCTCTTTGGTCATAAAATTGATTCTTTAGCATATGAAGGCCAGGTTTAA